GAACCGCTCATCCCCATTCAACATTGCTGTCATGAGCTTGTGAGCAGTTGCCCGTTCTAAGCTTTTGGGAATGGATCGGTAACATGACAAGTAGAGTTGCCTTGCTCTATCAAATGCATCATCCAGCCAGACACTATGCTGAGATTTAGCAATTTCAGGTATCAAAATATCAGTACATAAGGTCAACAATGTGGCATCCATCAAAAGCAACCAAAAAAAACACCACCTAAAAATGACACTAAACTTTTACTGGTCAGCATATATTGGTTATTGATGGGGTACCTCAAGTACCATATGAAGTAATTCAAATGCTGCTTGCATCCCATTGTCTCGCAGAGTGAAGCGGAACTCCATGCAAATAAATTCCTCAGTTGACTCCAAAGAGCAATTTATTAGGTGATTCACACAAAAAAGTTCTACCTGAAGAAGCATATTGCACAGTAATAAGGGTAAAATGAACTGCTGAGAAAACTTCCCAGCATGCATAAAAAAAATGATTGCATGCAGCTAACTTCACATAATGCAGCAGCAGTTCTAAAAATTGGAAACCCATTATACTTAACACACTCACGCCTGATAATTGACGATTTTGACTATGATTTCATCTTTAGAATATTAATTTCTCAGTCCCATAATGAATTATTAAACACAAGCATATTTGTATACACAGATCACATTCTATATATGTTTTTCCTCCAAAATTCTTCATGTTTCATTAAGTATTTAACTGCAATAAATCCTAATCTGCAAATGATTCCTTATCAAAGCTAATTTACTGACAAAAAACTTCAAAAGATCTGCTCTGTAAAAAAGGCGTATACATGCAACATGAAATCATATCTGAAGAAAATGTCACCTAAAATTCAGACAATTTATTTATTTATCTGTTTTGATGGCTTTGATAATATTCTTGACAAGTCTATCTAAACTGCTGCTTAGTTTCACTATGTTTTGAGATCTCTCTTCATTGCTGTTCATAACTCATACAGCCTCATCCTGGTTTCAATTTTTTTTTCTTTGATCTAAAATTATAGGGGAATTTGCCACAACAAAGGTCCGTGTTCAATTCTCAAGTGCACGCTCTACATTAAAAACCATAAAGCGTAGGAGTGTCTCCAAAGTCTCCCTTCCAAGACTGCAATCTAATAGGACCATAACTGTGTAATTTACTTTAGCAAAAAGATTATCCAAGGTTTCCTCAAGTCTAAACAACCAGCCTGCACTACCATTTAAACTGATTTTTTTATGGCAGATCTTTCAGAAAAAAATTGAAAATTTTAATAAGATGAAATAGAGGACAAGCAATATCACTTCTTTTTGACATTCATTTCATAATCGATAGTCCAACCCACACAATGAACTTTCTAATATTTAATTTTAAAAAGAAACATAATATACAGTACTAGACCAACCTGCTCTCTCGAAAAGCTGCCAACACGACCACCCTCACTGAGAGTTCTAACACCCACAACAACAGCTCCTTTAGACTCGGAACTTTCAGCTGCCCTGCCCCCACCCACAATAAGCCGCATGACACCTCCCCGGGATTCACTTTTGGATATCTGTACACAGCGTGGGATTGAACTAAAATTGAAATAGGTGGTGATATATTAAGTATATTGCCAACATGTAGCTATCAAGTTTTTTATTACCATCCAGATTGAAAACATGAGATGAAAGATGGAACAGACAAGAAGTATTGTTTTGCTTTGAAGTGAATATTAAAACCAAAATGCAACATGTCTTCATAAATAAATACCTCAAGCACTGTACACTACG